ACAGCTGTCCAACCATAGCTAACTTGTTTTAATCATGCTATTGCTAGTGCAGCACAAGGAATAAAATACACTTATAAAGATTCATGACTTAAGAAAAAGAAAAAGGGGCACTTCTAAGTTCTTGCTAGCTTTTTTCATGGGTTAGTCTACTTTTGAAACACAAATCTAACCAATTGTATACATGTAATTTTGTAAAACATAGTGATATAATTTCTGTTATCACCTGAGGAAACCATGATAGTTCAACTACACAAACTGTAAAGAGCCATGGTAAGCTCGCAGCTTTAAATAAACCATTGTTCTGTAGGTGAACACTCGAAACTAATCAAACAAGTTGCCTCTTATCAGTAAATCGGCGAGAGGCTTTTAATCTTGCTCAGTTTACAGTAATTTTACTTTTCCTTTACTTTCAAGTATATGCTCGCCACAAGACCCTTGCCTAAACTCACGAGGTTCTCCACGATAGAGTTCTCGTCGTTACGTTTTCTTTTAGTTCCAACAAACACCTGAGCAGCGTCGTAGGCATAAGCATCAAGACATACAGACATTCACACAATTGTACCTCCTGTTTCTGCAAGGTGAGTCCGATGACGTCGCTTCCCAAAACGTCGTACCACACGTCATAGTAGTCACCAAATTTTGCCTGTTTTTCCACAGACCATCCTCTTGCAAAGACCAAAAAGCCAATTTGTACCTTGATATCTTGCACAAACTCCACGACTGGATTGAAACCGACAAATAGCTGGTTTGTGCGAAACGCGAGATGGCTTCTAACATCCGGACAGACGAACGCAGCTGGTAAATAACACGGTCTTAGAAAGAAGATCATAAAACTACTGTCAGCCTACCTTGGAGCTTCCCCAACTCAGGAGAGAAAAGCACACGGCCTGGGTGGGGTAAGCTTTTCCGTTGCAAGACAAGGACGGCATCGTAACAATTCAGTGGAGTTCGAAACAATGACTACAAGCAAGAAAACGTAGACAACTGAACGTCAACGAAAATTAAGTAGCAACAACAAACCTGCCATCTGTTGTCCATTCCAGTTATATTGCTCGTCAGCAGTGCCGCAGAGCTTTTGGCATACGCAACAAGCCTTTTCAGAGCCTGTAAAGCAAGAGAAAAGAAAATTGGCCACTACAAACAAACACAAAGAAAGACACTTACTGGCTTTAAAGGCAAACACCTTGTAGAAGTGACCGACTGCATGTCATACGATGTGGCAATAAACATAGCAGGTCCTTTTGAACCCTCGTAGAAGTCGGCGTGTTCACCTCTTCTAGTAGCCTCGAAAAACGCCTGGCACAAGGGAGGTCTTCAAACTAGGAGATTTAACTCCATGCAACTTACCACTACAGTCTCCCGATCTTTCGAAGACATATCTCCGTTGATGTCCACAATTAAAGGAGAAAGGTGCCAGTCATAGTTTGCGAGCAACCTAAGAAATCTGAAAAACCGCAGATTGGTTAAATGAATAGCTCATTTAGGCACAAACGAGAAGGTTGCTCAGTTAACCGCATTCAGAAAACTGAAACTTCATCGAGATCAGTCATGTGGTATCATCATAGCAACCCCGAAATTTTTAGAAGATTTTAGTGTTACCTCAGAAAGCCAGTAATTCTCGTTGAAGGTGGAAACATTGGCTGTGGTCGAGTGAAAATGTAAGCGACCAGCAACTCAATAGCCTCCTCTGTAATGACGTCGGAGAAAAGATGGGCACCAATCCATCTCTTTGCAAGCCTATACATTATGTCAGAACTGATTATGAACACACGCCGTAAAATACCTGACAGTAGGACCATAAGCGGGACACCTTCCCTGCAAGCCATTTAATGTGCTGGAATGAACGCTATGAAATATAAGATCATCCTTGATACTGATATTACTGATAGCCGCCATGCCTGTGGACCATAACTGTTAGAAATAATCACACTAGTACCCTTACCCTTGTGTTTTATAAGCGTGGGATCCTTTTCGTAGGCTATAGAAATCCGAAATGCAAAGCCATTCATCAAAATGTCGACTGCATCTTCAGATACAACAGAATCTAGATGCCACTGCTTGTGCATGCTGAAGAAGCGAAGGAAATCAGCCATAAACCAATCCATGGAAAAGTTTCACCTATCCGCAATTTTCAAACAAAAGGCCGCTTTTGTTTTCTTGATTGCAATCACGTCGTTTGGCCATCGACCCGATCCCTCTAACTAAAAGAACATTAGATACAGTTCATTATGGAAGACAAATGAGTCAGACCTGTATCATTACTTCCAAAGGTTCTAAAAACACGCCTACAACACCTCCCTTGGTAGAATGCCTAGGCCGAGGTGTGTACACTGCAGCATGCCTGAAAGCTAAAATAACAATAAATAAATCATGATCATTAAAGCATAAGGACTTACCAGCGCTAATAGGTTGTACAGAGGAAATTTTTAAAGGAAGAGCAAGCGCTTTGAGGCGCTTTGTAAACTCTTCCAGCGCTTGTAAAATCTTAGGTGTGCTTCCGATGGAATCTACAAAACCTCTTGTGACCAGCAAGACTCGAGGATATAGAAAACGCGCACCTTGATTTTTGTCTAGTAAAGAAAAATCTAGTTGGTCAGAAACTGTTTCAACCGGTCCTGCGCCAGCAAAGTGCCTGATAAGGATGTATTCCGAAACTCGAGCTATGATAAGATGACGCTTCCATGGTTCACACTCCCACCCTGCGAAAATAAAAATAAGTGAGCATTTACAGCATCGACTAGCTCAGCTTACCAACTGCTTCTGCAATTGTTCCGTCCTTGAACCTACGAAGCTCGGCTTTTTTACCCCAAAAGGATCGAAATTTTGCTGACTACTACAGCATTGAGTTAGAAAGAGCGCAAAGCAGGTAAAATGTTTACCTCTTCTTTTTTGTCTGCGCTTGGCCCCACATCAACCATTCTGTAGGCGTTCTCTATGTCGTTCAGTATAGCTCCAATCTGGATTTTCGAGGGCAGGAACTTCGACAGACCCTGGCAAATCATAAATTTAAATACAGCTCGTCTAGATTCGGCCACCTTACCTTCTTTGGATTCCAGCCGCTCGCAATAGTTCTCCTGAGAACTCGCACTAGTTTTGTTCTATCTTTCAAAGCTTTACTTAGGACGTTCTCAGCCTTTCCTTCACTTCCTCTCCACGCCCCATCATTAGAGAAATCACATTTCGACGTGTCGTCGATTTCCAGCCTGAAAGTTAACGAGGATTAGATTCAGTGAAATGCTATGGAGATGTTGGCTTTTGATAGAGCAGAAATTCATCTTGAATACTGCATGTATCTTCATGCAACACGTCAATATTGGCGATTTTCAGCGCTAAATGCACTATAAAATCAGCAGTGCACCAGTGACTCTAGTCCATCGCCAGTACCAAGAAAAAACACATACTCACCTGATTTGGCAATCAAAGTAAGATGCAAAGTCAACTGCCGCAAGAAAGGACTCTTGAAAGCCACTGTCAGCGGTTATGGCCTCGAGGGTACGCTCCGCAAAAAGCTTAAGCTGTAACAGGAGAGTGTTAAAACGAAAAACGTCGATCATCTATTACCTCTTTCAATGAGTTCTTTGTCATCCGAAACAAAAGATTCGTTCCATATGTATCAGGAAATAGAACTCGAGACTCGTCAACCTGTGGGTCACAAATAAAACATTGAGGAACGAACATAATCACTTTACCGTCAGAGCTGGTCTCCTTTCAGTCCCCTGAAGTTCTAGTCTGAAGCCTTTTCCCAACACATCATACTTCGCTGAGTAAGGGAAAAGTTATTACCAAGAGCATTGCAAGCACAAGGCAAGTCATTACCGATCATCTCTAAAGAAACGCGAAAATTTTGCAAGGCCGTCATGTGATTAGACAGCCGCTGACCACCGGCTACACTACTCAAATGGAGAATCATGATCGATAGGAGGAATCCATTCATAGTATCCGGCTGACCATAAGAGCTCCTTTGCCGTAACCATACCTTCAAAAACATTAAAGAAACGTGAACTTGGGAGCTCAACAAGCAAAAACAACGCACCTTCAAAAGCATCACAGCCTCTTGCAACCTTCTAGAATGGCATAACAAGTTCTTTTCCACAGTGCTGAGTTCTTCTACAAACATGTCCTCAAGGATGCTACCGTTATAGCTTGGTGTAGCCTGAAGCGGCTCTCCAGTCCCTTCATTATGCACATTACTTCTTCCATCGTCAAGTTTCGAGATATCAAAAACGTTGCTAGAGATCGTAGGTATCACACGAAGGTCAAACATTCCTGAGGCTGACTGATACAGTGTTAGAAAGCTACATCAACAAAGAAAAAGATCATTTACCTGTGTGAAGAACCAACACTGGCTTACGGGCATCATGGTGAAGAAATGCCCACTCGATGCTCTTAAAAAACCCACATTTGGAAAGGATCTTGAAAACGTACGCCAAGTAAAGAGCGCGCTTAGCATGGTAACGATGGTTAAGGTAGTCCTTCTCGTAGAAACAAGCCTGGGAAGGGAGAAGAAAAACATTTCAGTCATAAAACAGCAAACACAAAAGCACAACCTTTGGAATACGCATCGCCAAATCCACGACAGTAGCAGGCCTTGCCATTGTTCGTGTTGAGTAGCTACCGACTAAAGTGAAAGATTCGGGTCTCTTAAACTCGAGCAAAGACCTGTCCTCAGGAACACCAAGGTCATCCAAGAATCCACTGGCGAGCGACCTTGGAACCTTCAAGAGAAAAAACAAATGTTTTGAAAATCACATTGGGTACAATGCGGTACCTTTTCCTCCGGGATTTTCATCAGAGCATCCTTGACAGCTTCGATCGCCGCATCCACTGCCGGCTCAAGATCGCCGTAATCGACACGGATCTCGGCGAGGAGCGCCTCGAGCTTGAGCTGCGCCAGCGCCGAATCCATTGGTGACTAAAGCCCTAACCCATAAACCCTAGCGCACATTCCGTCCCTATGCTAAACCCAGAGCATATGCCGTCAGAATATACGTTAGGTTTTTTAAATGTCGAGGAAGAACGCTTTTGCGTGAAGCGGCGGGCGATGCTGCGCTGAGAAAGAGGAGCCGAGGTTTGGCGTAAATGCTCTATCGATGTCTAGCTTGCGATCGATCGCAATCTCTTCCTTTTCTTCTCCAGATCGATCATCCATGGCGTTCTTGAGCATCGGCCACTTGCAGCGCTCGCCCAGGCCCTTGCTCACGCTGCTCAATCGCTTCCTCCACGAGCTCCATGGCGCGGTCTCCTCCACGGCGCGCATTGAGGACATTCCAGTCGGCACTGCGCCGCTGGACGCCTACCATCAGCTCGTCAAGGCTGGGACGATTCGACACGACAATGGCCAGCTTGCAGCTCTCCAGCCTCTGGAGCGCTTGCATCGAGAGCTCCAAGGCTACGAGCCGGCGACCTCAGCTAATCTCACCTCCAAGTTCTTCAGTGCTTTTCGGCTCAAACCATCTCAAGAAGCGCCCAAAGGGTACCAATTTTTTTTCTTCTTCTTCTTCTTCTTTGTGTTTTTCTTGTCTTTTGTCTTTGAACTTGCAATGGTGTGTTTGCAGGGTGTATATCTATGGAGGAGTCGGCACTGGAAAATCTCTCGTTCAAGATATCTTCTTTCACTGTAGTCCTGTGAGAAGTAAGAGACGAGTTCACTTTCACCAGTTCATGCTCGACGTCCACAAGAGGTACTTCAACATACATTGTTTTTCTTGAAGAAGAAAAGAACAAATTCTCTACTCTTGTGTGTGTAGATTGCATGAGAAGCGCTTGCAAGGACAAGGGAAATCAGGCGACTTGATCGAATTAGTAGCTCGGGACTTGTTGGCGGCTGGTTGGCTGCTTTGCTTTGACGAGTTTCAAGTGCGTGAGCTTTCTCGGTGACGTTTGTTTTAAAGGGATCCTGATCTCGCTTCATTTTTTGTCAGGTGTGTACTGTAATTGATTGATTTTTCCAGTAGGAGTGGTCTCTCATTTGTCCCTCACCACGTAAATAAGTTTTCTGTAAGAACCAAAGCTGCTTGGTCTGCGTGCTCTGGTTGTCCTTTCAAAATACTTTTGTTTCTAACTATTAACGCTCCTGTTCTCTTCTTGCAGGTCATAGATATCGCTGACGCTATGATACTGAGAAGGCTCTTGGAGAACCTTTTTCGATCAGGGGCAGTGATGGTAGCATCCTCGAATCGTGCACCTTCTGAAGTAAGGACTGAAAATTTCTTCTTTACGTACTTACTTGCATATACAGCTCTACAAAAATGGTTTGCAAAGAGACCTCTTTCTACCTTGCATAGAGCTTATTAAGAGCCGCTGCGAGGTCCATGTTTTTCGTCCTAACTCTCCAGACTATCGTCTAATAGGTGCACGTCCCGATGGCTCCAGGTATTCTTTCTTTAGTTGCAATTTCTGCCTGCCTTTTCTAATCTACGTGGTTTTTGGTAGTTCACTGTCTGTCGTATGGCACATGCCTTTGAACGAAGAGACCTCTAAAGCCCTGGAGCGCTCTTTTCTCGAGCTTGCAGGTGATAGACCGATTTTTACAACTGTTTTGAAGGAGAGTAACAGGGCCATCTTTGGTATGTATCCAAGCAGCTGACGCAAACCTTGCAGCTAACGATCGTGACTCGTGCAGTACCAAGGGCCGCTGGTGGAATTGCATACTTCACCTTCTATGAACTTTGTGGAACTTTCAAAGGAGCAGCCGACTACATCGCCATAGCTGCGTCCTTCCATACCGTGTTTATCGCCGGCATTCCTAGAATGACACGCTCTCATGCTGAAATGGTAAACAACTTTCTCGCCACTCGTTTTCTGACCGACGCGTGTGCGCGTTACAGGCAAGGAGATTCATCACGCTTGTTGATGTATTTTACGAGCATGTAAGTTTGACTCTCAGCGGGTTGTTTGTTTATCTCACAGGAATCTCTTTTGCAGAAAGTTAAACTAATCGTTAGCGCGGACGCACAGCCTGGAGATCTATACCTCCCAAGGTTAGTATTTCTATGAAAAACATTGAAAACCACGACTCATTGTCTTTGCAGACTAGAGGACGACCAGCCAGTTGCTGGAGTCGTGAAGCCGAGAGAAGAAAAGGGCGGAACGACCGCATACGAAGAAAAAGACGAGGAATTTGCGTTTGCCAGGACCGTGTCGCGCCTCAACCACATGCAGTCCGTGGATTATCTGTCCGCGTCTTGGGCAGCACCAGGCAAAGCATTTATATGTCATTTGCAGAGCACTAAATTGCAAGAGGGTGACTTGCGAAGGTCGGTTGTTTGTCCCTTCCCTTTTCTTTTCTCTTTTCTTCACAGTCTTCCTGCTGCACAGGATCTGGGACCGCTACAACATAAACAAAGACACCAAGCTCAGCCGCGACGAGTTGCTTCTGATGATGGAGGATCTCACAGACATCAAGTGCGGCCATCGAAACGTCCCCGAGGTATGCTCAAAGTTTACTCCAAATCTCTCAAAAGTTTACTCAAATCTCTCATGTGCCTGTTTGCTTTGCTCCATGATAAGCAAAACTTAGTTTTCTCGTTGGATTTATGACAGGAACTCTTGGAAGACATGTATAAGAAGCTCGACGCCAACGGCGACGGGGACGTGGTGTGGGAAGAATTCCGGAATTACTTCCTCGAGTACGGCCTTGAGACTGAGTGCGTGTGATTTATCGTTTTTGGTCCGTTGGATTAAACACGATCCAGCGGTTGAGAGTTTATGTTCTGGTCCGTCGGATTTTAATACGATCTAGCGGTTGAGATTGGTAGTAACTTCTTAAACAATGACCTAATTATCGCCCAGTACCTTTACGGCGCTCAACCTTTTTGGTGGGGGTTATTTAAAGAGGGCCATGGAATTAGGATTTTGCTAGAGCAAGGGCGCGAAGAACTTCTTGTCCCTAGAGGCCTAGGTTTCGCTGCGAGGAGGAAGAAGGAAGAGATGAAGGCGCTGATTCTTGTCGGAGGATTTGGCACCCGGCTGAGGCCGCTCACGCTCAGCCTGCCCAAGCCGCTGGTAGATTTCGCCAACAAGCCGATGATCTTCCACCAGGTGCGTTGAAATTTCAATCTAGGGGCTAGATCCAGCTCTCCCGCTGCCAGATCTCACTCTTGTGTGTTGTAGATCGAGGCGCTCAAGGCTGTGGGAGTCACGGAGGTAGTTCTGGCGATCAGTTACCAGCCAGAGGTAAGATTTGTCAAGGGAATTTGTAGGAAAAGGCTCACTCTCTTTGTTCCTGTAGGTGATGCTTAGCTTCCTAAAGGATTTCGAGGCGAAGCTGGGCGTGAAGATCACTTGCTCGCAGGAGCGAGAGCCGATGGGGACTGCGGGGCCTCTGGCTCTTGCTCGCGACAAGCTACTCGACGGCTCTGGGGAGCCATTCTTCGTCCTCAACAGTGATGTTATCTGCGAGTACCCGCTGGAGCAAATGATAGCTTTCCACAAGCAGCACAAAGGAGAGGCCTCGATCATGGTCACACAGGTAAGCTTCGCTTCCTCCTTTTCGTTGTTCCTTTTTTCCCTTTGCTCCAGATCTAACAGAGAATCTCTGTGAAGGTTGACGAGCCATCCAAGTATGGAGTCGTGGTGCTGGACGAAGACACTGGCCTGGTTCACAGATTCGTGGAGAAGCCACAAACGTTTGTCGGAAACAAGATCAACGCCGGGGTCTATCTCCTCAACCCGAGCGTCCTGGACCGGATCGAGCTGCGGCCAACGTCGATCGAGAAGGAGGTCTTCCCAGGCATCGCTCAGGAGAAGCAGCTCTTTGCGATGGTCCTGCCGGGATTCTGGATGGACATTGGACAGCCCAAGGACTACATCACAGGCCTGCAGCTCTACCTCGAGTCCCTGAGGAAGAAATCTCCAGAGAAACTCGCGAGCGGCTCCAACGTCGTCGACAACGTGATCATCGACGAGAGTGCCAGCATCGGACAAGGCTGTCTCTTGGGGCCGGACGTTTCGATCGGGCAGGGGTGCGTGATCGAGGATGGAGTGCGGCTCAAGCACTGCACGGTGATGAGGGGGGTCCGGATCAAGAAGCACGCGTGCGTTTCGTGGAGTATCATCGGCTGGCACTCCACAGTCGGGCAATGGGCTCGTGTGGAGAACATGACGGTCCTTGGCGAGGACGTGCATGTGTCGGACGAGATTTATAGCAATGGTGGTGTGGTTCTTCCACACAAGGAGATCAAGGCCAACATCATGAAGCCAGAGATTGTCATGTAAAGATTCGATTTGTATTCTATCAAAAAGGATCTGTCGCTTCTACGTTGATGTTTATACATTTCTTGTTGAGCAAGAGCTTGTGGAGATGACGTGCTTGTTAATGTATGCTTTTAAGTTCTCAGGCTTTTATTCAAGCAAAAAATTCTTATATAAATTCCGTGGAGCTATCGATCAATGGTGGCTGCAAGGGAGAAAATAAATAGAGCCATGAAAGAATGGATAAACGAAGAACAAAACTAAAGAAATAAAACTAAAGCGAACCACAACACTAACGAAACAACAAAGAACAGAAGTAAAGAAACACTGCATTGGAACCAGAAGAACAGGAAAATGGCTGAGCTTACCAGTGAGTGAGCATTATAAGTTGTTAAGATCTTCCTTGGACAAAGTTCTCCGACTCTGCAGCCGCGAGCCGACCTTGAGCTGCATCATTGCGCTGGCGAGATGCTGTGCTCGGCCCAGTCCAGGACCCGCCGGTGGCAATCTCAGCGCATCACCCTCCAAGAGCAGCGGCGAGGATGCACGAGGATCCTCGAAGATGTTCTTGGACGGCGTCGGAGCGGGACTTTGCGGCGACTTCACTCCTGCACGGGTTTCGCTCACAAAATCAGAAGGAAAGCAAACGAGACATGAAAGAAACAGAAGGAAGCTTTTCTTACCACGCCGCACGAAGTTGAGTGGCCACCGCGACACTCCTCGCGAGCCTCCTCCATTCGCAGCACCCGGCTTTGAATCAAACGGAAGAATGCTCGAGTACGACGCCTGCCTTCCACACCAGTGAAGTAGCACAACGAGAACCGCGGCCGCCGAAAAAAGCAGCAGCGTTGGCAGCAAGAAGGACGGGCTATAAAACCACCACCTCTGCCTCCTGTGTGAGCGTGAGCTCTTCTCCAGCACTCCGGCCTCGAGCAGAGCAGCGCCTTGTGTCCAAGTCACGTCCCCTGGCCCGACTGTTACTTGCTCGTCCCTCAAGTGAAGGCCCTCTCTAAGCAGCGCCACCACGTAAGGTGCTCGGAAGCAGTAGCGGTCGATAAATCCCTGTGGATCGACGCTGTCCCTGGCAACCGGCCACGGCTTCCCACAAAACTCCTGTCCTTTGCTCAAGAGATCGTCCAGCGACGCCTTGGAGGACAGGCCGAAAAACTTGTACATGACAAAAAACCCAGCCACCGCGTAAAACTGTCCGATCGGCCGTGGCTGATACTTCCCCAGCGCGCAGTTACTCTGCTCGCAATCTACTGACCGCGTAGTAAATCTCGACGAGTTGATGACGGAGCGAGCGAGCGCCTGGCATTTTCCCCAGTGAGGCTCTCCAACTAAAACTATAGGAACGCCACCTTCGCCTGCTCCCCGGTTAGTGGACGGAGGAGCCACGCAGTACGACGAGCAGGAGTAAGACTGCTGGTACTCGGAGTGCAAACACGGATGCCTCACTTCCAAAGTCCCGTTTCTCACGTTCGAGTTGTGCATGAGGAGCGCCACGGACTTGTCGAAGGCATCGTTGAGGCCGAAACCAGAGTGGGAGTACGCATACACCCGATGCTCCTCCTGACCAAAGCTGAGATTCACACCGTAGTCTGGCCGTATCGGCTCGCCCGGCTCGAAAGTAACCTCCAGGGACGAACCTCCCAGATCCAGAGAACCAACAGTCCCCAGCGTCATCTTCGTCTCGTCCTGTCCCAGCCTCTCGAGGATATAGTTCAACGCCACCCATCCATAGTAGGCCTCCTCCACCCCGTTGATGATCCTCAGCCAGCTCCGCCTACACTTGAACGGCGACTTCTCGATGATTCCCCACGCCTTGTCCAGCAGCCACTCCGAGTCTACAGTCGCCAGCTTCCGCAAGCCCGCCGTTCCCAGGAGAAGCAGCGGCGTCTCCCCGTGCAAGCGAGCCGGGATCTGCTGCTTGGCCCAGTCGAGCAGCGGCTGGACAGCAGCGCCGAGGCCACTCTCGTTGTGCAGCAGCTGGTGGAAGCCAGGCTCCGTTTCCATCCGGTGGTAAGCCTTCTTCACTCTCGCATTGTCGCTGCTGTGAGAAGGTGGCCGATACATAACCGGGATAGATCCTCCGTTGTGAACCCATCCATAGACGTAAACTCTCGTGCTGGTGCTGCCACAGTCCATCACAATCGCGAACTTGATCGGCTCCTCCTGGCTCCACAGACTCCTCCCCCAGAGAAATCCCAGGAACAAGAGCAGCAGCACCAGCGAGAGCACCAAAAGCCCAGCAGCAACTCGCCATCTGACCGGTCTATGGTACACTGGAAGGCTGAAACCCAAGCTCTTGGACGCTGTTCCACGGGGATCCTCTTGGAAACAGTCTAGCGAAGACGCGGCCTCGAGATCCGCTGGTGCCGAGATCGTTCGGAGGTCCTGGAGCGAGAGCGAGAGTGGGAAGCGCCGCAGTTTCCCCTCCATCTTTCCAGATATCCAGTCTCACGGAAGGCATACGAAAAGGTCCAAATTCGCAATGTACATGCCCGCTATCCCTGTGCCCCCTCTTGATGATCCTACCTACATCCAAACCTCTTCCAGGCCAGGACAGGCGATCGCGGCGGCGGCGATCAATGCTGCTGCTCGGCGGGCGACGCCGGATTCGATCGACGTAGGGCTTGCGATCGCTTGCCACGCACGTACCTGTGGTAGCCGAGAGCGCGCGAGGCCGCTCGCTCCCCCCTCGCGCCCTAGGCTAGGGCTTGAAGCCTTCCAGCTCCCGCGTGCCCGGGGCTCGCTCCAACGCTTGGAACGCGCAAATGGAGAGTGGAGAAGAAATTAGACAATGCCACGTGTACGTGTCGGATTCGTGATGGTAAGAAGAGCCCTTTATTTTATCACTATTAGTTAGAACTAAAGTAAAGGTGGACAAACTTTGCGCAATCTCTAGAGAAAACGAGCATCAACTTCAATAACTTTAGAAAATACATACCAGCCCAGGAAGCCGGTCGATCAGTAGATTGATGGATCGATGGAAGGGATAAATAGATAGCTTGGAGCTTGGCTCAGCCTCCAAAGCATTCCTGCCCAGAGCTCACATTGTTGTGGCTGCTGCTTTCACTCTCCTCTAGCTCCAGATGAACATGTTTAGGCAAGTGAAATATGTTGCTCTTGTATTGGCTGCCCTGGAGTAGGGTGCAACATACTTAGCGCAAATAGCGTTTGGGGGCAGCATAATGATCCTGCTGGGGGGTTATGTCTCTCAGCTCAAGGTCATTGCTTCCAGAAGGTCTGGAGCTAGAGGTCATGCTGGGCTTGAGCTGAGAAACATAACCCCTCATCAGGACCACTGTGGCATTTACAAAGGCTATTTGCGGCAACCTTAGTCCAGAGCAACAAATACAAGAGCAACATATTCACTTGCCTAAACAGACTCACATGTGTTGGATGACCAAGGAGGGGTTGGGAACAGTCACGAAGTACGTCGACATAGCCTTGCAGAAGCGCTTCTTGTACTGCTTGGGAGAGATATCAGTCGGTGGCCCTCCAAAGGCATTGAACCACGTCTCCAGATGTTTGTCCCATGTGTATTGCTTCATAAAGTCAATGATCCCGAAGACAAGCTCATCTCGTTCTTCATCAATCCCAACGAGTAGCGAGTAGTCCATGACATTTACGCTCTACAAAACCAGTATAGAGAACTGGACGCGTGAAAAGAGAGAGAAAACAACAAAACAGCACTGCTTACCGCAAAGGAATGAGGTGTCGTTCCATACCGTTCGCTCCAAAAGCTCTTGGCTTTGTTCTCGAAAGAAATGGGTGATTCCAACAGGTCCTGTTTTGGATTCTGAGTTGGAACGAGAGCGCACTAAGCCTTTCAAATCATATGGCCGAGTAGCGTGTCTGCCATAGAGCAGATTCTTCATGACCATCAAATCCATGCGTCCCTCCTTGCCTCCCTTTATGATCACCTAGCGTCGAAAGCAACAATGAAACCAGAAATGAGCTTTCCTGGTGAATGACCAAACCTTTACCTCATACATCCCGAGAATCTTAGCCAGACAGGTCGGGCTGCCAGAGTCTAGAGAATCGAAGAAGTACTCCGGTGCAAACTCCAGGAAAGAGAGAAGCTCCGTCCTCGTCACTTGCTTCACGATGAATCTGTCGTCCATCGGCTTGGCAAAAAAGACGACGTTCTTTCCACCCTGTGCTTCCGATTTACGGCACCCAAAGCTTACCAGCGCAGCATTTCTTCCACAGCGCATCGAAATGCCTGACCCTTGCTGCTATAAAGGATCTTCAACCTTCCCATCTGAAGAAGCGTCTTTGGAACTCTCCTTGGTGAGGACGCCTCCTTAGATACTCTCTGTACGTTCCTTTTCTCTCCACTGAGCACAAAAGTGCAATTAAAACTATTAAGTTTTGCCATGTGGGTGTTAAAGGTGTTTCAATTTCATAGTTCATTTTCATTTTTGAACAAGAAGCATATTCCAACGTGGACAGCTGCTCTTCCCTCCGTGCAGGGTGTTTTCCGAACCACCCCTTCGTTACTGCACTTTTTGCATAGATGAATGTGATTGTGATTGTGATGATCTCATTCAACGAGTTTGATGCTGCAAGTTCGTCGAATGTACTTTTTCAACAATTTCAAAGAGCGAAGAACAGGTCTTACAAATTTTCGCAGGCAGCACAGTTCCACTTGTTACTCGTGAGAAATCTCAAGTGGCGGAAGTTGGGAAACAACAGCAGCATATGGCATGCGAATCCATATCCGAGGAACAAGGACTTTGTAGATTATGAAGACTCTGAATTGAAAACGAAAACATCATTTCAGAAGAGGACCATGAACTGGCACAGGGTTTGGTTGATCTCAAGATTTCCTGCCGGTAGAGACCTTCTAAACTCGCCTTATCGAAACGGAAGAAATAAAGGAAGAAATAAAGGAAGATGACAATTCACTCTATACAATATGCCGAGTAATGAATGAATACACCGACGACGGGGAAATGGCTCCCCAGCGAACTGGACAAAACTTTTTCTTACTTCTCATGCTTTTTAATCTGCTACGACGAAACCTTAACGCAAACTTCGCGGACAATCTCTGGAGAAAACGAGCATCAACTTCAAGAACTTTAGAAATACGTACCATTCCAGGAAGCCGGTCGATCGGTAGATCGATGGATGGATAGCCCGGAGCTCCGCTCAGCCTCCAAAGCTTTCACCGTACTCGTCCTGCCCGTTTGTGGTGGAGCTCCCATTGTTGTGGCTGCTGCTTCCACTCTCCTCCGGCCCCGGACAAGCGCTGATGACCGAGGGAGGAGTCCAGTGGTCGGGAACAGTAACGAAGTACGTCGACATGGCCTTGCGGAAGCGCTTCTTGTACTGCTTGGGGGAGATCACGGTCGGCGGCGCGTTCTTTGGGCCTCCGAGAATGCCCGAAGCCTTGACCCACGTCTCCAGATGCTTGTCCCATGTGTATTGCCGCATGAAGTCAATAATCCCGAGAACAAGCTCCCCTCGTTCTTCGTCAATCCCAACGAGTAGCGAGTAGTCCATGACATCTATGTTCTACAAAACCAGTATAAAAGTGTGAGCGCGAAGAAGAAGAAAAAAGAGAGAGAGAGAAACCATTGCTTACCGCAAGGAATGAGGTGTCGTTCCATACCGCTCGCTCCAAAAGCCTCTTGGCTTTATTCCCGACAAAAATGGGTGCCGTTGGCATGGATTCCAACAGGTTCTGGTCCAACAAAACAGCGTTCTTTGCCGTGGAGTCTGAGTTGTAACGAGAGCGCACTGAGCCTTTCAAATCATATAGCCGAGTAACGTGTCTGCCATAGAGCAGATTCTCCATGACCATCAAATCCATGCGTACTTCCTTGCCTCCCTTGACTTGCTTTATGATCACCTAGCGTCAAAAGAAACAATGAAACAAGTTTTCAGGTGAATGACAAAAGTACCTGATACATCCCCAGAATCTTAGCCAGACAGGTCGGGCTGCCAGAGTTTATGGAATCGAAGAGATATTTGAAGTACTCCGGTGCAAACTCCAGGAAAGAGAGAAGCTCCGTCCTCGTCACTTGCTTCACGATGAATCTGTCGTCCATCGACTTGGCAAAAAAGACGTTGCTCTTTCCACCCTGTGCTCCCCATTTGCGGCACCTGCTCAACGACCGCACGAACTCCAAGTCACCAGCGCAGCATTTCTTCCGCAGTGCATCGAAGTGCTTGGCGTAGTAGGCGGTGACGATGTATTTCAGCTTCGCATCCGGACCTGTCTCAGAGTTCTCGATCTTCAAGTTCACCCCCTTTGTGCTCAATAAAGGATCCTCAACCTTCCCATTTGAAGAAGCGTCTTTGAAGCTGTTGGACCTCTCCTTCATGACCCCTTCTTCGAGAACTTGTGAGGACGCCTCCTCAGACACCACCGCACTTCCATTCTCTTTTTCTCCACTTTGTCCCTTCCCTTTCTCTCCACCGAGCTCGGTCACGTAGTATTGCGACAAAAGTGCATGAGCGATGATACTCGTAGGCTCGTCTTCGTAAACCGCATTCACGGTGCCATTCACACCAGGTGGCCAGAAAAGCCGTGCTCCACCTTGTAAAGCCTGCTGGGATATAAAAGAGGTTGACGGCGACTGACTTGAAGCCCCTCTACCCCTGTATAACGTCGAGTATGGTCCATCAATCCAGTTGCCGAGCTCGTCAAACTCCTTTTGCCGTGACGCTGTTAACTCTTCATCGGGTTGGCTTGTCGAGCTCGTAGGTGAGTGCTCCTTCTTACTTCCATTCTCTCCAGTAACTTCTGCCTCGGAGGCTTTGGCGCTTTCATGGTCTTCCGCATTGCATGGAACCTCTGTAGCTGCTTGTGTCTCGCCACTCCATGCAGCATCTAGCGTATGAGAGATATCGGCGACAACCGGACAACTGCCTTCAGAGAGTGTCCTCCTGAGGTCTACATCCAAACCAAGTGCCTCTGTAACCCCTTCGGTACCCTCTGGCTCGGCAGGAGCCACAGGCAAACAAGGAATGCCGTCCACCATATCCATGTTGCAAACCATATCATGTACCACGACTGTATCGTCTTTGACGGAAGTTGGTTTGTCCGCTTCTTCGTCGTGGACAAGCGAAGCAAATGGTTGCACATTCGTATTTGAGTATGTCTTCAATATTGGCTTCACAGACGCGTCCTTGCTCGGGACAGGCTGGTCAGGTAGCATCCCCGGATCTGAACCTGCTGACGTATACTTTCGCTGCTGAGAGGCAGCAAAGTAATGAAGACGTTTATCCCACTCCATGGCCCGGAGTGCAAGGTCCTTTCGCAGACGACAGAGCTCCAGAATGTCTGCGACTGGCTGTCCTGGATCAGTATGTGATGGAACAGCTTTCAACAGTGTCTTCTGCCAAACGAACCATGTTATGAGCATTGAATTGCCCGACACCCACCCACCTCAAACTCGGCCTTTTCTTTTTGGAAGAACGCTTCCAAGTACACAGCACGTTTTCTAGCTTCGGCGTTTCTTCCGCTTCCAGAAAAGGAGCCCGAGCTGGCAATATGTTCGCCAATAACACGTAAATGATCCAGTATTTCCGTGAAAACCAGCTCTCCCTTGTTGGCAATCTTAACGTCATATGTTAAAAGCCAAATCGTCTTTAAACAACAATGTACCTCATTAGCTTCGTCCCTGAGCCACTCCTGTTGGCTCGGATCGTTAAACTCCAACTTTGGAGGAGGAAGATGAATTGAATGCAAATGAACAGAAGCATAGCGAAAGCACGCTATCATATTGCCGAACCTGTATCAAAACAGTCGTTAGATCTACGAGATTTAAAAAGAGAACAAAACCCTCACCCGTAAAATCGTAAACAATCTCTGTGAAGTTGGTGGCCACATACAGCGACTCTGCTAGCAGCTGCATGATTAGAGAAGCTCAGTTCCAAAAACTTTCCGAATGATAAACCCCAGGCGGCATCAGACATCACGATTCTACGAGTCACCGGCGGAAGATCGTCAGTCCGAGGACACTTTAAGCACCTATGCCACATCCATATTTTTCCATCTCTTTCACCAGGTAAAGTATGGTCGTCCATCCGTCGAACTGAGATCGTCAGACTACCCAAGCGATGGGTATAACAGCGAATGTGTGCGTCGGCGGGTTCATCACAATGTTGGCAGCGATTGTTCTGCATTAAAGCAGGATGAGAAGCGAAGAAAAATTGACGATAGCAACTTACGCCGTCGAACAAGGTGTCTCTCAAAAATCTTCCCAGTGGCTTGTCCGAGTTTCCGTAATACTTTATCCGAACTATGTTGGGCCGTTCACAAACAGATCCCTTGGTGAGACACCGTGTTGACAGCGATACGAGAATACTTTGGTGGTCGGAGGGCGTTGGAGGGAAATCGTCTTTTCCACTCTGTTCATCTGCGTCTGATCCTTCTCTATCACCTTCTTGCAAAAAAAATGACTCCGCATTTTCCTTTGGAGACCTGTCAGCAGATACGTTCCATTGTTCTGCATTGGTTCTCATTGCCTCCTCACCGAAGGCTCTTCTCAGAGAAACTGATAACCCGGAAAGACTTTCCCCAGTAAAATCTGATAAACTCGACTGCCAATCCCTTGTAAAGCCATTTAGACCTGCTGAGTGCATCAACGTATTATTCGTCTCCGCACCTTTGCTGGTGAGTGTAGAAGGAGAAACTGGAGGAACACGTTGACCTTCTGCGGTCGCTACTGAAAAACCGGGGATCGATGTGATCGACCGGTCGGAGCTGGATTGCTTGCTAGGCAGCGTGACGACTATAGGCGACCTGTGGTCGGGGAGAGAGGCACCTTCGTCAGCAAGAAATGATGTTTCCAAAGCCAAATGATAGGATGCAAAGACAGAGAGCTGAAGAACACGTTTAATTTTCTTCAGATCGTCTCCATTAGCGCCCCTCAGTAAAGCCTGTCAATGAAACACACATTAGATATAAAGCTCAAACCATAGAGAACGCTTACAGTGCATCCGAGAGGTTTTGGACATCCTTCAAAAAACATCAGTGTCTTGGACATTTGCTTGCCTGCTTGGCCAGCACTACCGAGCTCCTCTACAAACTTCTCAATGTGGAAAAGCTCGCAGTGACCAGCCTTTGGTGCCGCGAGATTATCTGGTGTGGATATGATTTGAGCACCAGTACATCTCGCAATCCTCTCCAGAAGAGGACGCTTGACATTCTGCACCAGCGATATTTCTTTCGCCAGTAAACGGTCTTGCGCAAAACGAGTTACTCCTTTCTCAACGAGCACGACATTGGGATGCTGAGCCTCGATC